TTTAAAAATGACGTCTTCGTTTAAATCTTTACATTGCGTAAACTCGTACGAAATGTCTGATTCCAGGAATGGTGATGAAGGTTCAGGCGGAGGTAATCGTTAGGATTACATTGCATTTCAGATTTGAAGTCTTGTAACATGTTTCTGAATAATCGCCGAACGAATCCTGTGTTTTCTTCTTCTTCTGCAAATTCATCGAAATGGACGATATATCTATTTTCATGCGCTTTAAATTTTGGAGAGCTCTTTCCTTGAGCTAGTCTCGTGATAATACTCAGAAATGGGTTTAGGTGGTAAATCTATTTCTCTCTCGGTACTTTTTCGTTTCAAAATTCGTGGAGACTGTACCTGTTTTTCTCTAGTAGAATCCATGTCTATCAGCTGATGGCTCTGAGGGTAAAATGAGCCGAAAGTCGGAGAAAAACCTGTATTTATATAGTGGATGACGTCACAATGCATAGGTAAGTTTTATCGTACTTTTTTTTTGCACACGGCACTTTATAGAGGATGCAAACAGGTATATAAGAAAACACAGGTAAAAGGTATATTTCTTTTGCACACGACCCTCAGTTTTTTTTTTTTTTTTCACACGGCACTTTATAGAGGATGCAAACAGGTATATAAGAAAACACAGGTAAAAGGTAAATTTCTTTTGCACACGACCCTCAGTTTTTTTGCACACGGCACTTTATAGATGATGCAACAGGTATATAAGAAAACGCAGGTAAAATGTACATTTCTTTTGCACACGACCCTGAAATAAATCCATGCTATATATATAAACCAGAGCTGAACATGAAGGATCATTCTGTGTGAGTACTAGGAAGTGAACACAGGTAAAATATGGCAGAGGAAAATATGACAGAGAAAACGAGCATCGTTGGTTCATTGAGATATTCGGAGGTATTGACAAGAAGGGACCTTGGATGAAAACCACAGAAGAAGCCATACAGGATTTCATGAATTTTAAAATTCATTCCACAGAATCACCTAATCAAGAAGAAATTACCCCAATTGTATGGTTGGAAACAAAACAAACAAATTCATGCTGCAGATTGTCCTAAGAGAAGAAACCTAGTCTCCAGCTATATTCAGGGAATATTTGGTGGTCCTGAATCCAAGTACCCAATATGGGCTGTTCCTGGTGGTCCTGAATACAAGTGGACAATCGAGGGTGTTCCTGGTATTCTGGATGTAAGTCACTGGTACAGAAATTCAGAAGACTGTCTTCAGGATTTGCTCAAGGACATGAAAAAGAGGTTATTCCACCCAAGTCACGCCTACTACCTGAATGCTCGTATATACTTTAGTAATGTCTTTAATTTTTATTGTAAAATTTGGGGTATAACACAGTGATTGATTACAGATCCTTGAAAAGGCACAGAAGAAGAAAAAGTAAATGTAATTGGATGTATTTTTCATTGTGAATAAAATTACCTTGTTATTGTGTGTGTTCTTGTTTTCAATAAATCCAGTTTGAACTGGTTATAGGGCTGTCTAGAATGTGAATGAAAAGTGTGACGTCATAATCTTGAATCGTTGCCAAAAATCGTAGTAGCAACGTTATGAATGGTAGTAGCAGTGTACCAATGTTAACACAGTGTAAACACCCCGTATTTAAGGGGGACTATATGTAATGAATTAACCCACCTATCCCCCAATCTGCACTCTCCTGACCCAGCTATCCCCCAGGGGCTGCACTCAGTTGACCCGGCTATCCCCCAGGGGCTGCACTCAGTTGACCCACCTATCCCCTCAACCAATCAAAATTGATCACGTGATTTCTCTCAGCCAATCAGAATCCGTACCTAGCTAGGAGGCTTATACTACTTACATGTACTATTTGGAGTTCAATATCTGGCAAAACATCGTGATTTCGGCATTAAATTGTTCGAATCATTCGATTGTCACTACTGTAAACAATGTCATTTGCCCCCAGAAATTTAGACTTTTCTCGACTCCCCCGCAAAAGAGCGGTAGTAAGTTAGATAACTGCGAGGTACTCATTGGTAGTCGCGATATAACGTATTCAAAAATAAGGATGAATATTTATTCAAAGTAGACGGAGTTCATCTTTCCAAAGAGGGAAATGAGATATTCTGTCAAAACCTTAAAAATGGCCTGCAACAATTCCTGAAAAAGTGTTGAAATTCTATGATATTTGGGGTCCGCGGTGGAATAAGTTTGAGTGGTTCTTGCCAACATGGGGGTTTCACTGTACAGTATGAAGTACTAAGTACTGATGGTCGTATAAGGGACCCCTCCTTGTTGGCGATATCTTCCGATCTTGTGGCGGAAGAACCACTCAAGTTGAATGACGGAAATAAAAACTTACTGAAATGTAGCATTACATATTGTGGGGGGATGCTGACACACATGCGAATCAACCCGGTGCTGTTGGCATCCCGTCATAATTGATTGTAAATATGTTGTCATTGGTGAATACAAGTGTTGATTTTGATGTTGATGAAAGACAAAGTGAAAGTCATTGAAATATTGACAATTTGATGTTGATACCACAATGAAGTTGTTGATAATGTTGAAATGTTGATCTAACGTTGATTGTTGTTATAATTTGTCATTAATATCTCATAAAATGTAAATATGTTGTGTGCTTGGGGCTTGCTCTTGCTAACTGGCATCCCCTTGCAGTTGTATGTTGTTTCAATTATAATTTAATGTACTTATTTCCACCGCGGACAAAAAATTGCCACAGGTAAACTTTAAACCTTTAATCTGTTTTGTGTCATCTTTGCATAAAGTTCTGTGATAACATGGTTCTTGAGATAATGTTTTATGGCATACTTCTTCATTTGTTTTAAATCCCAAAAAAGTACATTGGAACACGTGTCCTTTTTTCTCTGCCTTGGCCACGTCCATGATTAATCTGTGAATTTACAGACAAGTAAGGTAAATTTGAATTTATATTCTCATTGTAAAAAATACCATGTCAAACCGCAGAGAAAGTTTTTTACACGATATGATCTTAAAATAAAAATATTATAATTAAGTACACGATTGTATTTAATTCCTTAGCACTTTATTAATAGGGTACACCTTGACTTAATTTTTTATAGAAATATGCCACTCATTCACACATTCATCATACATTCTCGGTTAGAGTATAAATAATCGTTTTATGTTTATTTAACTAAAAAAATTGAATGTATTGTTTTACATCTCTTCTGTAATTGATAAATGATCTTTTTCTTTAATCAGGTATCGGAACAACTGACATGATAGATACACATGTAGTTCAAATTCCAAGGTCAAAACTATTGGTACTTCATGGAATATATTGTAACAAAAACACACGTAAAAAATGAAATTCCTAGCACCAATTAGAGTTATGGCAAAGGTTTGAAATTTGTTCAAAATGTCAAGGTGGAGTGTGAAAACTGTATGTACTTTCGGGAAAGTCCTCTAACAATAAATTTAAAGATTAAGGCCCAAAGTTTGACTCCAAGATCAAGAGGTCATATTTAATAATTTAAAGTACTGAAAGAATGGAATGAACATATGAAATACGAAAAAATAGCTCTAATCAATTACAACGTAAGGGTAACCCGCATTGCGCAATGTCTAGAGCGTCTATTTAAGAGTAGCGAAATAAGGAGTTGATCCTAAATATGGTTCAGGTATGGGACGTAGAAACCTGTACTTCGAATAAAACCATATTAACCGAGGTCCTGTGTCGCAGTAGTCACTGCTCAAAGTCATAAGGTATAGGACAAAATTGTAAGTGGTGGCGTCTCCATATGAATTTTTGACAAACAAGTTGATGAAACAAGGATTCCAGCAGTCTTTTTAAATTCATCATTTCGAAAGTTCTATGGTCGATACAATGACCCTTATCAGCAAATATATTTTATCAATGAGACAAATGCTGACTGACGTTTTTCATACTAATTAGTCCATTATGTAAACACTTAATTTACCACGGATTTTCCGTTATTTCCCGATCAAAGAGCACATGGCAGATGTGACCGGTCGGCAGGGTATGCTCACTCCTCCATGGCACTTGATCATTCCTCTGATGTTTTGGAGGTCCACGTTTGCTCTTTTCCTATTTTGTATTGTTTAATGGACTTTTAATCTTGAATACTGTTCGTTATCTCCATGTGTTTCATTCTCGAGAGGGACGACAAGCAACAAACAAACAAAAACTTATGGTCAAGGTTAATATCTCTTTCGGTCGGACAAAGCGGATCTGTACCATCAATATCATTGACCAAATGTTGCAGTATGCTGTCAAGAGGTATCATTTTAGAATGCGGATCCTTTTATGTAAATGAAGCACCTGCCGGTTAAAGCTTATTAGTCATGAAGCTAAATATTCACCTAATCTGAATTTCACCAAAAGAAGGGGCTTTTAAAAAAATATTATATTTTTTTATATTGCATGAAGCTTGATAAATGGTTAACATGTAATTTTAATGCTAATTATACTTCGAGGATACAAAGCCATCATTCCATGGACTCGGCCATCTTATTATCCCCTCGCGCAACTAGTTGCGGAGGGTGTAGCGGGAACGACACTCTGGATAGAGAATGCACAATATGGGTTAAAATTGACCAGTGATATCCCTTGTAACGAAACAAATAAAAATCTCTCGAATTCAATACAAATAAAAAAATTATACAATACAAATGGCAAATATTCAATACAAATAAAAATATACATGTACACATGATTTTTTTACGATATAAATAAAAAATTTTACAATGCAAATAAAAAATAATACAATACAAATAAAAAAAGTGGAATATTGCAACATTTGACTTGCCATAGTTGCTTTCAATGTCTTATTTATTCAAATTTGGATAATATAAAAAAAAACAATTATGGACTTTAAGTGTTCAATATGGTTATTCACCAGAAAAATATAAATATATATTACTCCACTGCGCAATACTGCTCTGCTATGATCATATTTCCACAAAAAGGATGTCGTTAAAAAATGATATGGTGAGTCACTATAATTGTTGTATCTATATATTTCAACGCTGACAAAACGCTTTGAAGTAGGTTTAAGCAAAACCATGAAGGTAGGTATAAAAAGTATAGAACGTTTTGAAGTCTAATATTGCAATTTTCTAATTTAGGAAAATTATTTTACAATTAAAATAAACTGTATCATTTAATTTTTCCTTAAGGATGATATTTTTAAAAATATTTTCAATGGGTCTAACGTTACGTGAATTTTATAACTTTGTTTAAAATTAATATTCTTTGCATACGCTCTTTGAAAATGAATTGAAATACTATATAGCATTAAGAAAATTTTGTTGGATCAAAATACACCATCTCTTAGGTCAAGGTTGTGTTGATTCTATATCTAAACTTTCCTAACTGCTGAAGACGAGGCTTGATTGATCGATATTTAAGTTTCCTAAAAGAAGTTCAAATCATTTGAATCGCAAAATTCCTGTGAACGGCTTCAAACGGCACTAAGAAAGATTTAAAAAAAAAAAACGTGGATTCAAATCTCGGCCGTGACTTGACCCAAATCTATAAAAATATTTAAAATGCTCGCAACTTTGAAGTGGGAGTTACGTGACCTTCGGATGAGACCTTAAAAACCGAGGTCTTGTGTCACGGTAGGCATTGGTACGATAAAGAACCCTCATTGCTATTCAGTGCCGAGTAAAGTTCTAAATGTGGAACACCGGTACATGGTGACCTCTCGATGTGAGTATAAAAAATTATCCCAGACAGAAAAAAAAACATACAATCAAGAAACCGTATCTGGTTTGCACCACTCATCAAGACGTCAATTGATGAATATAAACATTATATGCACTGACTAGAAATACAACGTAGTGAGAGAATTAACCGAAAACCTGCATTTATGTTTCTTTGTTGTTTAAGATCCATCTAAAGAATTGTTCACTCATATGGAGAAGCCACTTCTTGCAGAGTGGAGGACTAAAAATCCAGACCTTTACCAGGCACTCAAGGTCATTGAGCCTTGACGGATTTTTTTTCATGTCATCACTAAATGCTTACGGAACCCAAGTTTATACCGGTTTAACATCATTCCGCAGTGGAATTCGAACTTTGGACGTATGTAAGGATCAGCCAATTAATCCTCGACTCTAGAGCAAACGCTCCACAGGCGCTTGTTTCGTATTCGGGGTACCCCCTACTTAATTTTACCAAAAGGTACCTAACTCATTTTCAGGCACCCCCTCTTCAGGCTCATATTTCCTGAAGATACATGTATCATTGATTATCATCCTACTTTAAAATAACATCGTTTGCTTTAAGATACTTTTCTCTGGTTAATTAAATCGTTTCAAATGTTTCTGGTCGAGCTTCTTTATTGTAAACTATTTATTTATTCCTTGAATACCTTTTAAGATTTTCATTGGGACTCAAATTTCCTGTTGCAGTAAAGACCTCGGAATGGAAGCCTCTGGGTTTTTTTTTCTCTGTATCACCACTTATCGAGCTAGGGGCCATAATTTTCACACTTTAGGGAGAGGGATAATTGATTATTGCATATACAGAATGTATGACAAAAGTTTGGATATAAATTACATTACTAGTAAGGCTAGTAATTTTTTATGGTTTTATATGGCACGCCAAATTCACAAAAATGAGTTTCATCATAGTTTCATAGTTTCACAATCGATAAACTAGGTTTATCGGTTGTAAACTATAGTTTACGGACTGTAAACTATAGTTAACAACGTTAATCTATATTTTACATCCGTAAACCATAGTTAACGCGATAATCTATGTTTCACAACCGTAAACTATACTTAACACTGAAAACTATCATTTGCAATTGCAAAACATAGATTATCTGATTACATCTGATTTGTAAACTATAGTTTACAAACCGTTAACTTTAGTTAACGATCTGATAAATATAGTTTCACGATTGTAAACTATACTTTACAAACGTGAATCTATGTTTATCAACAAAATCTATTGTTAACGCTTATTACAGACAGATAAACTTAGATTATCATTCGTAAACTATAGTTAACAACCGTTAAATATAGTTTTACAGATGAAAACTATACTTAACGAATCGTTAACTATAGTTTACGGTTTGTAAACTTTAGTTTACAGTCGATAAACCTAGTTTATCAAATGTGAAACTAAGTTTATCTCAATTTTGTGAATTTGGCTTGCCATAGATTTATTTTCGAACCCCCAAATCCAGGGGGCTCCATGAATATCACAAAATTTTGTTTGCTATTTCCCAAAAAATTTTAATAGTAAATTTGCAATTTGTACGCAAATTGGTGCAGCGGTATCAGGGGAGAACGATGAAAATGTTCACGCATATAGATTAAAGAAATAATTCAAGTAACCTTTAAAATTATTATACCATCCGTTTGAAAACTGAAAGGCTATAGAGTGATCAGGATGTCCGTCCGTCTGTTTCGCTTTGGGTACCCACCTCTTATCCACAACTCCCTATATACCTCTGAATGAATTTTAATGGGACGTTCACAGAATCTTTGTTCAAAGTGCCATCGTGCACATCCTATTTTAAATTTTGATCCGAAACCTTATTTTGGGTTTCCCATAACAAAACATGGACAGCGTCACACTCTCTCTATACATTAAAGGGTCCCATTCTTATCCGCAACTCCTATACCACTGAGTAAAAATTAAATTCTTTATGATGACATAATGCAATTACACACTTCCTATTTTACTTTCTGATCTGACACTAATTTAGGGTTTCACAAAGCAAAACGTGGACTTTGCCATGGGAGGCGGAGGTATCATTTAGTAAGCTCACAATACCTCTAGTTATAGCCCCCGCTTGAAAAGTGGGAGGGTATTGTAATGTGTACTGTACCCCTGCGTAGGGTTCTCAGGGGATGAAATTTTCTCTAACTCTACCGGAGTTTATGATCTAATAATTCAACTATTCACAGTATAACAATTTTTCTTACTTATCGGGGTTTTTCATCTATTAACGGGGGTATCATTAAGTGGAATCATTGCTCACAGCACCTCTAGTTGATGTACAGAATTATAAATGATGGAAGAACTTATTTATGGCTCTAAATATAAAAAGTTATTAATCAGTTTTCAGGTGTATTTGTCTTTGTTTTGATTTTTGTATCCTTGGATTTGCTGGCAATGCCTGTGGAAGGTGGTTGGTGGAGATCTAGAAAGGAGAAGTTGAAAATAACAATAAAACATAAAACAAATGCAGCAGAAGAAAAACGAGTTGTCCGGTAAGTACCATCTTTAGTCGATCTTATAAGGGTTAAAATTTTGTTTATACTTCGGTTCATCGATATACTCTGATATGAGAGATCCCAGTAACACTAAAATATATAAATGTGTATAAATTAAATTTGTCAAGATGAAGTGTCTCTTCTGTCCAATGTTGCCCCGCAAGATATATGCTCTAATTGTATTTCACTTACATAATACATTCTATATGGGTGAGCAGAGGGTTTTATGAGCCATAGCATTATCTAAATCTTTGGAAGAGTCCAAAAGAACTACGCTTAATCCACGTGTTTATTTTCACTCGAGAGTTTTTCTTGCATATGGAGACGCCACCGCATTCCAGTGGAGAGCTGCAAATTTTTGTCCGGACTTCACGTCCCAGGGTGGGATTCGAACCCGCGACTAAAGGATCAACTGCTTACTTTGCGACTCTTAGAGCAGTCGCTGTAACCACTGCGCCACGCGGAGTGTATTTCTCTCCTATTTAGCTCACCTGAGCCGAAGGCTCAAGGGAGCTTTTCTGATCAAAATTTGTCCGTTGTCTGTCGACGGAGTCGAACGTAGTCGTCGTCGTTGTTGTCGTTAACTTTTCCCATTTTCGACTTCTTCACAAGAACCACTGGGCCAATTTCAACCAAACTTGGCACAAAGTATCCTTAGATGAAGGGGATTCAAGTTTGTTCACGGGGAGACAATTCTGAAATACTGGTAGTGAAAATTTTATGGTATGTTTTAAAAATCTTCTCAAGAACCACTGTGCCAGGAAAGATGAAGCATCCCCAGGTAGTGTAGATTCTAGTTTGTTCAAATCATGACCCTCAAGGGTATGGTGGGGCCACAATGGCCGATCCAAGTTTTAAATAAAAATATATAGGAAAATTCTTTAAAAATCTTCTTCTCAGGAACCACTGTACCAGGAAATGTTGATTGATTGATTGTATATTGTTTAACGTCCCTCTCGAGAATTTTTCACGAAGACGCCACCATTTGCTGATAGAGAGCTGCAAATTTTGTCCTATGCTCGGCACTCAGGGCCTTTGAACAGGGAGGGATCTTTAATTTTCGTGCCAGCACCTACTGCGACACGGGGCCTCGGTTTATACGGTCTCGTCCGAAGGACCGTCCTCCACGTCCCGCAGTGGGATTCGAACCCGCGACGTAAGGATTGACTCTTTACTTCGCGACTCTAGAGCAGACGCTCTAACCATTGCGCCACGCGGGCAGGAAATGTTGAAACCTTGAGGGAAGCATCCTTAGGTAGTGCAGATTCAGATTTGTGTAAATCATGACCCCACAAGGGTAGGGTGGAGCCACAATGGCCGATCAAAGTTTTACACAGAAATATATAGGAAAATTTGTTAAAAATCTTCTTCTCAAAAGTTAGCAAAGGTATTAATGATCATATTTATATGGAAGCATTCTCAGGTAGTGTAGATTCAGATTAATTCAAATCATGACCCCTGGGGGTAGGGCGGGGCCACAATGGCCGATCAAAGTTTTACATAGAAATATATCTATTAGGAAAATTCTTTAAAAATTTTCTCTGGAATAGCAAAGGCATGAATGATCATGTTTTTATGGAAGCAGCTTCAGATAGTGGAGATTCAAGTTTGTACAAAGCATAACCCCTGGGGTAGGGCGGGGCCACAATGGCCGATTAGTTTTACATAGAAATGTATAGGAAAATTCTTTAAAAATCTTCTCTGCATGGAATAGCAAAGGCATGAATGATCAAATTTTTATGGAAGCAGCTTCAGGTAATGTAGATTCAATTTTGTTCAAATCATGACCCCTGGGGGTAGGGCGGGGCCATAACATGGAATCCGAATTTTACATAGAAACGTAGAAAAATCTTCTTTACAAAATAGCAAAGCAATGATTAATTTTTCTAATATGGAAGCATTTTCATGTAGATTGTATTGGAGATTCAATTTTGTTCAAGTCTTGACCCATTGGGGTAGGGCGGGGCCACAATGTAAGTTCAAATGTAAAGGGCAATAAAGTCACAGGTAGTCAAAGAAATATGCAAGCATCCTTATTTAGTGTAGATTCAAGTTTGTTCAGATCATAACCTCTCCCTTTTAAGGATTGTATGGAACCTCTATTGGGTTGGTTTCAACTTTTTAATTTTAAACTGATTATGCTTTTTTCCTAGCCACATTGCTTGCTTAAATTATTTTGTACCATAGCATAAAATACAGTGCAGATGGTGAAATACAAAACTTACTAAATCGGAAACTCTGCAGGATGGAAGAGAAAAGAAGAAACAGCCATTCACATTAAAAAAGAAATGCTGATGCAAGGGATTAAAGAAGGGTCCGATATCGTAAATTGTCGATTTAGAAGAAGGTTCTTGTGCTAGGGCGGGGCTAAATAAATTATATAGTGAAAATGTATAAATTCTTTGAAATTCTTCTTTTCTTCTCATGGACATTAAATACACCAACCATAGTTATGTTGAATGAGGCTGCCTCTTCCAAAATCGTGAATTTCATGGCCCCTGGGTCAGGGCTTCTTGTGTTAGGGAAGGGGTCTAATGTTTATATAATGAAAATGCATTAATTGCTTGAAATTCTTTCCCTTTGCTCCTGGGTATTATGCCAATGATCTAAATACATATTTATGATGAAGAAAGCCAAAATGGTTAATTTCCGGGCCCCTGGGTGAGAGGTTTTTAGAGGAGGGGGTTACATAATCTGAAAATTAATTAATACTTTGAAATCCCTATTTTGATATTAATCATTAATTTATGATGAAATAAAATTCATGATAAAATTATGAATTACGTGGCCCCAGGGTCAGTGGTTCCTGTGAGATGGGGTGTACAACTGGTTAATTAGTGGAAATACATTTTCTTTTTGTTACTCTGATCTACCTCTGGGTATTGAGTAACCAAAGTAAGCATGCTAAGTGTATAATAATGATACATGTAAGCCCCTTAAGTTTCCCTTTCATGAGAAAGAAAAAAAATAGGATTTTATATACATGTTCATTTAGGTATAGATATGCATGATCAAAAATATCTTTTTTTCAGTGGTCAAAACATTGTGGAAAGAAGTGATCCGATGACATTGACCTGAACTGCTAGAACTATTTATGATAGTTTTTGGTAATCTGTTATAAAAAATAATGAATAAATTTTATTGCTCTTATTTTAATTAGTTCATTTAATAGTGATATATACTTGTGATGGGTTCATGTATATATCGTGTACATATATATGCACATAATCAATAAAGGTGGCTGTGTTGATTACCCTATATTTCATTTTTATGTGCTGTTATGGCAATTAAATACATTGATTAACGTTGAAACTTCACTCTGAAACTTTTATTTTGCATGATATTAACAAGATCAATTAAATATAAATGACTTGCAATATAAGAGAAATTACAAATTTTAGTTGTTTTCGAAGTATCAATAGATCCACGAATTCATGTCCATCATAAAATTTTAGATGTTATATTTCAGAACTACATTGTATTCTGTCAACAATTCTCCATCCACGAAATCAAATCCCAAAATTTTCCTTAAACATCGAAAATTTGAACCCATAAAAATAGGTAATTTTACAGTACCTCAATTTTCATCATCCAACAATTTAAAAATACCCGGTCAGGAAAGGATGACTGCACTTAACGCCGTTTTTTTGTCAATTTCAATCTCTGTTGTCACATTTATTTTTGCCTTAAGTCATTTGTTATAGAGTTTGGTCTATTTCCAAATAAAATGCGATGTCAAATTGGTTATAAACTGCGTTAACGCAACAAAATAATTTGTTGTTTTCTTCTTTATTGGGAAAGAAGAAGCTATGGTTTCCATACAAATTTTGCCCTGTGATTTTCTAAAAAATGAAACTGGTGTAATAATTGAAAACTCGTGCTTTTTAAATAATTGAAATCCAATGCAGAAAAATCATACAAGTCATTTTTCTCACATGTGATTTTAAATGCTAATTATGACGTTATGAACATGTGCATTTTCCCGTATTTTCTTAAAAAGTTGCAGAAGACACCAATTTTCAATGGAATTTTCTTTCAGATAACATTGTCCATAGGCATCGCCCACAAAGATCTTGAGATATGTGATTTGTTATTGAATTATGCACAAAATATCAAAAAATTAATGTGGGCGACGGCTGTGGACACTGTTTTCTAAAGAAAAATCACCCTTAAAATGTGCCATTTTGAGGCTTTTTCTGTTGAAAATAGAGAAATGCTTCACATTAATGACGTCATATTTGCAGAATGGTAAACCTTCATGCCATATTCTTTCCTGATTTATCAGAGTCATTTATTTAACTAATATTTAAGCCAGTTTCAAAATCTTTTGATGTCATTACATTTTTAGGGCGCAATTAAAGCTAAAACATACCTTCTTCTTAGACTTATCTGCCCTTGATTGAAGATAAGATTTTATAAATATGCCTAAGAGGTGGAGCTAATATTGTAATGAGTGGTCTGAAATTAGAATAGTTACTGTATTTATATTTAGTGCATTTCTCTCTCTCTCTCTCTCTCTCTCTCTCTCTCTCTCTCTCTCTCTCTCGTCTTATGTTTGTCACTAGTATTTTTTTAGTTTTCAAATAAAGTATATAACTAATAACAAATAACATCGACCGGTGAGAAGTAGCCATTGATAATCAACTGCAATGGCTGATGTCAACAATTCGCATGTTTGAATACAAATACCGACTAGCTCAGTCGGTAATGCACAGAATCAATATTATTGAGTTCTGGGATCGAGACCCGCTGACAACAGTAATACGAACTTTGTTTTTCCTTAAGTTTCTTTAATAATAACTTTTCCCCATAAATTAGCATGCTGAGGACAGTATGAATTCATTTTTATTTACTTGATTTTATTTTGGGTGTTCATGTTAAGCAATGGTTCAAAACACAATAAATAAATCCCTTTTTACTCGTAGACTACGAACATGTAGAGACATATAATACACTCAAAAATATATAAATATAGTAAAATGAAACGCTTTTGAGATAAATATTAGAATAATGTTATAGATATCTAAGAAAAAAGAATAGCCCGTGGCTCGATGGGAATGTATTAAAACAGAAATGGACAATCACAATCGCCCAGCAGAATGCGTGTTTCCTAACATGTCACGTGATGGAATTTTAGTATTCACAGAGTTACCTGGGTATAAAAATCACGTGGTTAATTATAATATTCAACAGGTAACAACGTGGTCAAAATGGCCTTTTTACTATAGAGAAAGTGAACACACGAAGAAAAAGTTTCTTCTCTTTTTAACCATGATCGCATGTTTGTCTATTGATCTCCTTTAAATATGAGGTAATATATATAAATATACAACTACCATAAAAAGGAGAACAATAGACAAACATGCGCTGACTCTGTATTAAGTCTATAAAAAGGTGGGCGTACTCATTATCCTATGGAGATTCCAAAATATGCGATGACCCCTCCATATAAAAACGACTTCGAACTTCGTGAATACGAACTTTTAATTAACGTAATTACACAAAGTTACGGTTAAGACATTGGTCATTTTCACGATTAAAAGAAAAATACCCAAAATTAATTATGTCGCAATTTCTAAATTTCCTTAAGTGCAGTCATCCTTTACATTTTCGAACCAATGTGCCAATTTCAACCAAACTTGCCACAAAGTATCCTTGGGTGAAGAAGATTCAAGTTTATTAAAATGGAGGGCAAAGCCCTCTTCCAAGGGGAGATAATTATGATTTAATGAAAAATTGATGGTATCTTTTAAAAATCTTCTGATGAAGAACCATTGGGCCTGGAAAAATGAAACTCGTGTGGGAGCATCTTCGGGTAGTGTAAATTTAAGGTTATTCAAATCATGACCCCCGGGGATAGGGCGGGGCCATAATGGCTAATCAATTTGAAGTTTTACATAGTAATGTATAGGAAAAATCTTTCCTCAAGAACCATTGGGCCAGGAAAGATTAAACTCATGTTGAAGCATCCTCAGGTAGTGTAAATTAAAGTTTGTTTAAATCATGACCCCAGGGGTGAGGTTGCGGCCACAATGAGGGCTCAAAGTTTTGCATAAGAATATATAGGAAAAAATCTTCTCCAGAATAGAAAACTTTTGTTTAGTCAAATTAACATGTAAGCATCTGCAAGTAGTGAAGATTTGAATTTATTCAAAAATTGATGTCCCCGGGGGTGGTGGTAGCGAGGGGTCACATTGGGATATCATATAGTATTTTGGAAAAATCTTTAAAAGTCTTCATTTCAAGTATGGCATAATTATACATGTACGCCTTATTGATATAATGACATTCTCAAATAAATAGAAAATTTACATCCCCCTACCCAAACAAGTAAACTTTTCAATACTGATTTGTGTTTTTAGCTAGCCCATGTGCTCAGGTGAGCGATGTGGTCCATGGGCCTCTTGTTTTTTTTTTTTTTTCATGTCTTGACAAGATAGCAGGCCTACCAGGCTATTCTCTTTTACCATGCTGTTTTAATTTAGCAGAGTAAATGCGAGACTAGCGTGGAGTCCCTGACATTTTGCTATGTATATATTTATGATCCATGAATAATTATTAATTTAATTTATCAAAATTATTACATTTTGTCTCTTTGTGGAGATTTCTCACAGTCTGCTCAGGTCCCTCCCGTTCTTAGAATTTTGTATTGAATAAAAAACCTTAACTTTTTAAAAAGTAAATATAAAGGTATTTACAATGAATATCTAAAATATTTCAATAAACCTAGGTGTATACATGCTTTATTTCTTGAACAAGCAGTATTGATTCATTTATCAGAATCTGTTCAAAAAGCCCCTTGTCCTGAATTTATTCTTAAAGTTTTCCTTTGACTTGCAGATATCTCCTCAAGCACTTTTGTCAAAAGTTGTTGAATGCATTTTCTGTTGATTTTTTGTCTTAAGAAATAACTCCATATTTACTGTTTTCGTATAACTATAGGTAGGTAATTATTTTATTAGTTGCACTTTATTTTTTTAAAAAAATCATTTTTACTACCTGTTTCACGTTGTGGACTTTTCTGAGTTTTTCTTGATGCTTTTGCTTTTCTTTCTTTTTTTTCTAAAATAATTAATACAGTTATCTTTATAGGAAAAACAATAAAATTATCTATCATCAAAATAATCAGACCCCCTCCCTTTAAAAAAAAAAACACCGATAAATAAATTTCACATTTTACCTGCTCTTGCTTCAGAGATTATTTCCACCAGGTCTTGTCTTTTCTTTTCCTCCAGTAATAAATATAATATTTACTCTTAAAAATGATTTTTTTTCCCCAAATTAGCATTATTTACAAATGTTACAAAAATAAGACTATGCTTACTTTTATAAAATGCAAGCTATTTACAGCCTTACAATACTTAAAAGATTGACATTTACTGTGTTTCTGAAAGTAACATTTATTTTTAAATATTTCTACCTCCTTTTCATGATGTTTTCAATCAAATTACTCTTGTCTCCTGTCTTCTTTCTCCATGGTCGTGGCCCAATCATAATCAAATTTTCATATCTTTAACTTTTTCTCGAAAAAATGAAAGTCAAAGTGGAAATCTGATTCTTTCATTCTCTCATTTTCTATGTACATGTATTATATAATGTATGCAATTTTTCTCGGTAATTTTAATCAATGAATTTCATGTAATAAACAAGATGTGTTTGTGAAACACTGATGCCCCCGTATGGCAACATAGTGAGGATTAAACTTGTCTTGAATGTAAATATTTTATATTTGTACCCAAAGTAGGGTCTCCTAAGTGGAAATACAATTGTAAAATATGAAGGCCCTATCACCATCTGTTCGGCCCTATCACCATCTGTTCCCAAGTTATGGCCAGGTTAAAGTTTTTTTCATAAGTACAGATATCTTTAAGATCAGGGTAAGAAGGTCAAGGTTATTCGTATCCAATGAAAGGTCTTGCCACAAAGAATACATATGTGAATAGGGAAGCTCTAGCCCTAACCATTAAAAATTATATCCAAGGTTAAACAGATTTTAAAAGTAGGTTAAACTCTAAGATCAAGGCCAGAAGGTCAAGGTTATTGTTATTTATTGAAAAGTCTTGTCACAAGGATTACATATGTGAAGTTCTAACCTCTAGCCCTTAAATTAAAAAAAATATGGCTAAGGTTGATGTTTTTTCATAAGTCTG